GGTAACAAATGGAAGATTTAAACTAGTTTTAAGGGAATAAAAGGAAATAAATGGAAGTATTAAACCATTTTAAACAATAAATGGAAGAATCAAAGCAGTTTACAAGCAGTTTATGAGGGGAAGGGATGGAGATGGAGAAGGAAGGAAGGAAGATTGAAGGGGAAATGAAGGAGATGGAGAAGGAAGGAGATTGAAGGGGGAAGGAAGGAAAGAAAGAAAGAGATTGAAGGGGAAGGAAGGAAGATTGAAGGGGAAAGGAAGGAAATGGAGAAGGAAGGAGATTGAAGGGGGAAGGAAGGAAGGAGAGATTGAAGGGGAAGGAAGGAAGGAAGGAAGGAAGGAAGATTGAAGGGGAAAGGAAGGAGATGGAGAAGGAAGGAGATTGAAGGGGGAAGGAAGGAGAGAAAGATTGAAGGGGAAGGAAGGAAGGAAGAAAGGAAGGAAGATTGAAGGGGAAGGAAGAAGAGAGAGATTGAAGGAGAAGGGATGGAGATGGAAGGAAGAAAGAAAGGAAGACTGAAGGGGAAAGGAAGGAGATGGAGAAGGAAGGAGATTGAAGGGGGAAAGGGGAAGGAAGGAAGGAAGGAAGGAAGGAAGGAAGGAAGGAAGGAAGGAAGGAAGGAAGGAAGGAAGGAGAGGGAGATTGAAGGGGAAGGGATGGAGTTGGAGATGGAAGGAAGGAAGGAAAATTGAAGGGGAAAGGAAGGAGATGGAGAAGGAAGGAGATTGAAGGGGGGAGGCGCTGCCAAGGACGCACAAGCAGCTCCTCACAATTGCCCGGGGAGGCTCTGGCAGAGAGCTTGGCGGAGAGCCAAGCGGCGGCACATCCGGGGCATCAGAAGCTGCGCGGAGGATCCACGCACCTTGGAACCGCCGGCTGCCCTCTTACACCTGCCAACCTGGAGCCCCCCATCCTCATCCCGGCACCTCTTGCCCTCTCCCAGCCGCCCCCGGGACCTGCCCACCCCTCCAGCCTCCTGAGCGCCATTGCCCTCTGCACCGGCCAAAGCATTGCCTGACGTTACAGCTGACGGGCGCAGGTCCGGGGATCGCCAGCTGATGGCACAGGAGGTAGGCGCCACGGCGGCCTCCCACAGTGGGAGCCAGGCCCGCTTTCCCACAGGTGCAGCACTGGCACCCGCGGGCCTTGCCGGCCGCTGCTGACTCCTCACCCAAGCACGGCGGTTCCTGGCCAGCCAACGGCGTGGGCCCCGAAGACGCCGAGGAGGAAGGCGGGTCTGCAGAAAAGGTGCCGCACCCACCACATCTCCCTTCCCGCCCGACAGCAGCCCGGAGCTCCGACTCTGGTACCACGGCCTGCCTCCAACCGGCTCCCCATGGCTGGCCCTGAGATCAACAAGCAACTTCCGCCCAGCGCCGCCTCGGCCCCAGCTGCCTCGCCCCATGTGGCCGGGCTTCCCGCGGGAGTTTCCGCCGCGCCAAGCGCTCTCTTCAGGCAGTGCCTCCTTGCAAAGCGGGAGAGGCTGCCAATAACGCTGCCAGGGACGGTCCCGCCTGACTCCCAGGCCGAGGGGCACCCCAGTTCCCGAGCGGCCGTGGCCAGAAGTGGCAAGCGCGTGTGCAGAGGGACCATGGGACGCCCGCCAGGTACACTGGCCTCGGCCCCTTCCCACGAACAAGCTGGAATGCCAGGCAATGCTTTGGCTGGTGCGGAGGGCAAGGGGGAGGCCGCCGCAGCGCCAAACTCCTGCACCCGTCAGCTGGGAGGTCTGGCGGCGGAGCCGGCTGGCGTGGAGGGCAATGGGGAGGTGGCAGCTTGGTGGAAGTCGAAGCTCTCCCCCCCTCCCCTGCTCTTTGTCTCGCATCCTTCTAGATTTGCCACAGCGAGGCGCAGGGCAACCACCAGCTGGGCCACCAGGTAAGCCACCCGCCGGGCCTCATGTGCGCCAGCAACCCTCCCTGTGCCCGCCGCTGCCCCGCTAGCCTTACATTGGCCACCGCACATTCGGTGCAGTGTCAGGCACGCCCAGGCGCTCCTGGGCATCCATAGCACGCGGGAGCGAGGGCGCAGGCTGACCACCAGCTGGGCCACCAGCTGGCCCAGCCCAAGGGAGGTAAGGCACCCGCCAGGCCCCACGCGCACCAGCAACCCTCCCTGCGCCCGCCAGCCTCCCACCCCTCGCCCTCTTTTACTTACTTTTAGTAGTTGCTCAGCAGGGAGGGAAGCTTTCCAGAAAGTTTGCCTTGCAGCACCGTTTGCAGACTGGGGCTTTTGGCGGGCTTAGCAGGACAGAGACAGCCTGGACAATTCCTATTGGCTTTTGAAAGCCAATAGAATTAGACTCTATTCAAGAGAGTCTATTCTATTGGCTTTCGAAAGCCAATAGATTCTATTGGCTTTCGAACACCAATAGAATAGAGTCTCTTGCATAGAGTCTATTCTATTGGCTTTCAAAAGCCAATAGAATAAGAGGGAGTAGCACAGCTAAAGAAAAGGGGGAAAAATGGCGAACAGCCTTGTTTGGCGACCCCCGTGAAATGGTCGTTCGACCCCAAATAGGGTCGCGATCCATAGGTTGAGAACCGCTGATTTAGGACAATGCTCTTAAGGATTATCTGCCTACTCACCTAACAAGCCTATTTAGATAAGATAAAACAATCCAAGAGGTCATATATATAAGGCCCACCCTAAACAACTTGCTCAGATTGAAAAAGCTATGTTTGAAGCTTCTTCAAGAAGAGAAACGTTTCAAACCAAAAAAAGAAAAAGTCCAGTTGCCACAACTTCCAGACAACTACTTAGATGACTGAGAATATTTATTGATACTGAGATTGCTACATTAGGGTCTGAACAAGAACTATAGCAGTTTATCCCAAAGATAAAAAAAAAACTTCTATTACAGGTTGGAATATAACAAAAATAAATGTCTATATAGATTATTCAAATTAAAATTTCATTGGATATTAGTTTTCTCCTAAAACTTTCCTATTTTCCATATATAAAAAAGGGAAACTTTTTTTTTAAAAAGCCTTCACTTTTCCAGTTCTGTTCCATTGTTTCTTAAGAGACAGAAAATGTTACAATAGTAGGGGCAGAAATAGGAATTAATATAGGAATTAATATAAACATCAGACCATGGGTTTGGGAAACTATATCTGTAACAAAACAGGCTGTTGTTAAAGCACTCCTCCTTAAGCCCAATTCTTCCTCTGATTTAGCTTCAAACAACTGAGTGAATTAACTCCAAGAAGGCTAAGCTCCTTATGTGAAAAATGGCTCATAATTTAGTTAATTATGACTTACTGAATAAACCATAATTGGCTGGGTTCATACAATTTACTAAACTTATAATTAAATGAACCTCTGTTTGTGTGTGTGTGTGTGTGTGTGTGTGTGTGTACTCATTTTATCCCTAAACCCCATAAATTTTAAATGAAAACAGACACATATGAAGAAAAAGAAGTAGCCTATCAACTTTTAGAATATAGGGTGTTCTCTGCTTACAAATATTAGTTTAGTGACTGTTCAAAGTTACAACCACATTGCAAAAAGTGACTTATGACCATTTTTCACAATTATGACCATTGCAGCATCTCTATGGTCATATGATCAAAATTCAGAGGCTTAAAATATTTATGACAGTTGCAGTGTCTTAGGGTCATATGATCATCTTTTGTGAACTTCTGACAACCAAAGTTAATGGAAAAGCCAGATTCACTTAACAACCATAATACTAACTTAACTACTATAGTGATTTACTTACCGTAACAATTTTGGCAAGAAAGGTTGTAAAATGGAGCAAAATTCACTTAACTGCCTTGCCAACAGAAATTTTGGCTCAATTGTGGTCATAAGCGGAGGACTATCTGTATAGTCCTTGGTATGCCATATAAAACCTAATATGACCATTAAGGTGATAAATGAGATAAGCCATAATTTGTTTAGTTTTAGTTTAATGTGATAACCAACCAATAATTGATGGATTGTTACATATTTTTTTACGAAGAAGGCTAGTAATTGTATTGTGAATTACAGCCAATTGAGGTTTATTCATATGATTATATAAATCTTTTTATGCCAGTACACACTATGAATTATGAGTTAGCATCTCAGTACCATTTCCAATAATTCTATAACACTGGTCACTGTTAGTATATTATAATCTAGATTTTGGAAAATGGGGGATTTAGTTGCTAAAGCCACCTAGTTGACTGTCAGTAATAAAGCTATTATTGTTCCTACATGTTGCTCCATTTCATGATTTATAGAATTATAATTTTAATTATATTAATTTTAAAAATTAATTAATAACATTTAACAATCTGACAGGCCACTCTTTAGGAGCAGCATGACCAATTCATTCTAAATACGTTTTCAAACAGCCATGTTTTTACCATTCTATGAAAATAGTTAAGGACAGAATGTTCCAGATATCCAGGTATAAGCTATTCCAAAGGCACAGTTCTTTGTTAAGAGTTTTACCTAACAAGATAAAGTGTAGATCCAGCCACTGTATATGCCTCATCTAATTGTTAACTTTACATGCATCTATGAGAAGTCTAGTTCAGCCTTCCCAACCTAGTTGCTATGGTAGAACTACAACTAACATGCATACAAAGATCATCAAAAGCACTGTCATATGAGATGATGGGCTCTGTCGACAGCATTAGCTGCTCTAAGCATGAAGTAGTCGAAATGTGGTTTTACCTTTACCAGTTTTTTATTTATGCACGCACTCACCAAAATACAGTACGGCTACTTCCACTGGGAGAAGTAATTACCAAGCCAACTGCTAGATTAAATTCGATCAAAATTCAAAAGAAATAGAAATAGGATGGGGAAATGGAGGCGAAAACACCAACACAAGAGGTACGAAGAGAATTCCTGTACAGTTTCTGTGGACACTCTATCTCACAAACCCAGTTAGCCTCGCGAGACTGCGAGAGTCAGAGATCAGCAGCCGCAACAAGTCAGCTAAGACTTGTTCTAAGTCAGCTAAGACCCCTTCCTTTTCCCGTTTTTTGGCATGACTTCTTACCGTACGTGACCGTTACTATCACGGCCGACTTCTCGTAAGGCCCCGCCATTCCTGTTGTCCACCTCTCCGCTCGAGCTGCCTCTGAATACCCAGCAGCTACTTCTCCTTCCTTCTAATCCGGAAACCGCCCGGCGCCTAGAAAAAAAAGGGAAGAAGGGATGTGACGCCAAAAAACTTCCGATTGCCGTCCAATCCCTCTTGACAGCAGGGATTGGACGGCAAAGAAATGCCGCCTTCTTTGTCCTACAAATAAGGTACTGCAAGATATTTCTGAGAACCAAGTTCAAGCAGCATTTAGACGTTCATTGTGTAGAAGGAAAATTGTTGGCAGTTTATTCCATTACACGATGTCAAAGAAAATTTTTACAGTAACACAATTCTGAAGGCAAAGATAATTGTTCCAGCAGTAATAAAGGGATTTTCGACTATCTCATAATTAGCAATTTATTCTATATTTTTTGCTTGACTGTTCAAACTGAATATCCAAAGCAGTGTATAACTTAAAAATAACGATAATTAAACGGTTTTGTTTTGCATATGTACCAATACAAATCATATTGCGTTATTCCATCAGAGCAAGATTTTGTGATTAGATTTAATTGACAGAAAAAGGGACCTGAAATCCAGCAGTTTATCTGTTTTGAAGTAATTGAAATAATATTATTACTTTTACACTACATTTATAAATCAGGTTATAAATACATCTATTTGTGATTATATGACATGCTTTTGTTGTGTGTGTCATCTTATCCTGGCAACTGTCTGAATTATGTCCCTGCAGTTTTCTTGGCAAAGTTTTCAGAAGTATACAGAATAAATATACTTTATTAACCTCAGTATTTGAGTATTCATAGCACTCTGAATCATAAACATGATTGGATTCACTTAGCATTCTAGACTAAAATGTAATTAGGTTGTTTCAAATTCAGTGTGGTACTGGATGCAGACTAATGGAGAAGCTCTAGGAACCATAATTTTTACTTATAGCTTGTAAAACTCTCAGTTTTATCCAGGCCAAGAAATGGACATTAAGACCTGTTCTTACAGTTTCCCAAAATGGTTTTGAAACATTAATCCAGTTCAGCATTTTAATACAATACACTGAACCATAAAAACAGAGGAACTATAAACTGGACAGATTCATAATATATGGCACTATAAAACAGCCTATATCATCTTTTGTCTAGCACAGTGGTTCTCAACCTGTGGGTCGGGACCCCATTTGGGGTCGAACGACCATTTCACGGGGGTCGCCAAACCACGCTGTCCGCCATTTTTTTCCCTTTTCCCTAGCTGTCCTACTCCCTCTTATTGGTGGCCACACCCACTTGGGGGTCACCACAACATGGGGAACTGTATTATGGGGTCACGGCATTAGAAAGGTTGAGAACCACTGGTCTAGCAACTTTCATTGGCTTTTATTTCCTTTGCCCAAGTCTGCCTCCATATCTTTTTTACTACCATATCTTCATGACATTGTATTCGTCTTAAGGTAGAATAATATAGAATAATGTGGAATAATAATAATACTAATGAAAAATCATTAAAATGATGTGTCTGCATAATTACTGGAATAAAGCTGTGTTAACAATATGTGACTAACCAAATGCACATTGCATTCAGATACAATGTATGTAGCAGATTCTCCATTGTGTGCCCATGAGAAATGAATCTAATGTATTACAATGTAGATTTCTATGTGTGTTCCTTTGTTCCTGAGAAAGGGAAAGTATAAAACTGTAGTTTGAACCCGCCCCCAGGGTTCAGAATTGCTTGTCTTCACTGCTTCTGAACCTTGCGCAATAAATCTCTCTGCTACACCCTCTGGAATTCGTAAAAGTCTCTTTCGTTTTCTACAAGAATTCTGGCACTCCAGACGGGATTTTTGGGAAAAGGCCGTTGACCTTCCAGACGGACTGCCCTGGTGGGGAGCCACTCTCTTAATGATGACTCCTCCAAGCTGGCTCCGTGGCCTTTGTCTACGGGGAGACCTCGATGGGAAGGGAAGGGAACTGAACTCACCCGCCAGCGAAGCACTCTAGTCAAGGATCCACCGAGGGTAGCAGACAGGTCTTTAATCCTGGGAAGGGTCTGGAACACCTGCAGGCAAGTATCGTAAAAGGGGATACCTGATCCCTTTTGGATCAGAAGAGGGGACTGATCATTCTCTAGAAGACAAGGCGACATCCTTAAGTCTTCAATAGGTAGGATTGTGTGGGTGGTTAAACCATCGCATTTTCTGCAGTGACCGTTGGAACGTCCAGCACCTCAGGTCGGTGGTAGTGTGTTAGGGAGAAATGGGGGGGAATCAGACAAAGAAGGGCGTTGATCAGATGCCGCTTCAGTGCATGTTAGGAAATTTCAAAAAGGATTTTTCTAGGGATTATGGGGATCCAAGACCAAATCCAGCCATGTTAAAAAGATTATGTGAATCTGAATCGACCACCTTTGGCGTAGGGTGGCCCAAAGAGGGATCGGCGAATCCCGAACTCGTGGCACGGGTTCATCAAATTGTGACTGGAAGTGGTCATTGGGACCAATATCCCTATATAGACCAATGGCAGATTAATATTGAGAAAAAGCCTCGATGGTTAGCAAAGCGTCAGATAGAATGTGCTAAAATATATTTGGCATGCCAAAAAGCCAAACCTCAGACAAAAGCTAAGATTTTGAGCCAGGAAGACAGGGAGGAAATTGCCAGACCCCCTCCCTATGTTCCTAGAAGAGAAGAAGGGAGAATACATCAGCAAATTCCACCCCCTTCAGTTGAAAGAAATGAAGTCCATCTTCAACCAGAAGCCGGTGTGGAAAGAAAGATACTGTAAAAGAAGATAAAACCGTTCAGAAAAAAGAACAGGACTTAGATAGCGATGAAAGCAAAACATCAGTTTCTAGTCGAAAATAGGGGTCAAAACAGAAGAAATGATAGCCCCTCTAAGAGAAGTCTTGGTCCCTGGACCAAATAACACCAATATTCCAATGCTTCAGTATGTTCCCTTTATAACCACTGATCTATTTAATTGGCGTCAGCAATATGGACCATTTTCAGAAAAACCTCAAGAAATAATAGACCTACCTATTCTCCACCATTATTCAGACGCATAGTCCCACCTGGGATGATATGAAACAACTTATTTCTACTTTACTGGATATGGAAGGAAGAGAAAAATATAGATTAAGGAAATTAAAAGTACTTGCCCGCTGACACCCCGAGGGAGAAGCGAATTCTCAGGCAAGCAGAAATACCGATGCAATAGAAGAAAGACCAAACTGGAATGCTAATGATGCACAGCACCAAACTTTGTTGCACAATTATCGGCTTTTGTGTTTAGAAGCCCTGAGAGAAGCAGCAATCCGTCCAGTTAATTATGCTGCAGTAACTAGTATTTGGCAAGAGAAACATGAATCACAAACCGCTTTTCTCAGCAGACTGATAGAAGCTTATAAAATAAACACAGGTCTTGATATGGAAATGGCACAAAACCGCCCCCTCCTAATTGAAAGATATATCACCCAAAGTGCCCCAGACATAAGAAAAAAGTTATAGCGCATGTATGAGAAGTCTCATACATGCGCAAGAGGCATTAGGCAAGAATGTAGCAGAGATGGGGTATTGTCTTACCTGAATGCCTTTTCTTAGCATGATGATGTAGAATCCACTGGATGGGTAATTTCAGCCTTCCTGCTCAGAAGGGACTAGGTCAGAACTTTGGCCATGCCTCCCTCTGGGTGTATCCTCCCAGTTTTGATGAGGTGAAGCATCCCTTACGAAGTCCGATGCAATGGCTCCAATCATCGTGACACCTGCCTAGACTACCCTAATGGGAGGGTGTGGATTCTACATCATCATGCTGAGAAAAGGCATTCAGATAAGACAACGTCCCTTCTCCAGCATGATGAGTGTATAAACCACTGGATGGGACATACCAAAGCCACTCATGTCCCTATGGGGGGAAGTTTAGGCTTGTGACCCCTGAGAAGAAACTACCTGTTGCAGGACCCGCCTGCCAAACGCAATATCCGCTGCTGCAAAACTATCTATCTTGTAATGTCTAATAAATGCAGACGGGGAGGACTACGTCGCAGCCCTACAAATCTCCTCGACCGAAGCCTGTGTGGACCAAGCCACAGATGCAGCGGCACTGTGCATTGAGTGAGCTGTGATTTGTGCAGGAACTGGAAGTGACAGGGAAATATAAGCCCGAGTAATGCATGCCCTAATCCACCTACCTATGGTGGAAGAGGAGACCTTCCGACCCATGGTAGAGGGTTGAAAGGACACAAATAAGGCCTCCAACTTGAGAAAGGCCGAAGTTCATTTAACATAGTGACGCAGAGCCCTGCGTACATCCAATTTATTCCACTGCCGTTCTAGTCTATGTGAAGGAAGCGGGCAAAAATTGGCAAGAATTAATTCCTGGGACCTGTGGAAGGAGGTATTAACCTTTGGAATGAAGGAAGGATCCAATCTGAGGACCACCGTATCCTCGAAAAAGGTACACAAATCAGCCCTAATTGAAAGGGCAGCCAATTCCAATATCTCCCTAGCCGATGTTATAGCTACCAAGAAAGCCACCTTCAAAGACAGAAAATGAAGAGAACAAGAATTGAGAGGTTCAAACGGAGGAGAAGTCAAGGCCTGCAACACCTTGGGTAAGTCCCAAGACGGATAGCAGTGTACTACGGGCGGTCTGGTGTTAACCGCCCCTTTCAGAAAGGCACTAACTGCCGGATATTGTGACAGAGGACCCCAATTATCGCAGGAGAGGACTGTTGAAAGGGCCGCGATCTGCCTGCGAATGGTACTAGGCGATAAGCCTTTGTTCAGACCTTCCAACAGATAATCCAAAATATTGGGAATCGTAACCGAGAGCTGGTTGAGGTTTTGTTTGGTGCACCATGTGCAGAAGTTTCTCCATGTGGCATCATAAATCCTATTTGTCGAGGGGCGTCTCAAGGCTTGAATCATCGAGATCACCCCGGACGAATAGGATTGCCCCAATCCCAATCCAGATTCCCGCTCAAGTGCCATGCGGCCAACTGGAGCCACTGTGGATCTGGGTGTTGAAGTTTCCCTTGGCTGAGAGCCACTCACTCTGGGGGAATCCTCCACGGAGGCAAAAGCGAGAGATCCA